TTTTGTGATAGAGGTTTTTTACTTCTTTACATATTGTGTACATTTTGTGTCATTCAGAGTATAGAGGCATCCTCATGTGGATTATGGTTCAGAGATTTATAAATGATAAAGAGTCACTTTGTCTGAAGCCACTTTTTATGTCACAAGATTTAAATATTGATGATAATAAATGTTTGTATATGAATGTTTTGTTTTTGTCCTGTGGCAACTATTTTAGTAAACTTTATTTTGAACATTCCTACTTGCCCTCATTTGGGTTTAATTTACAAAACCATTGAGTTTGTTTTTGAGGAATCGAATTTTCGGAAAACGAAAAATAATAGCTTTTATTTTCTACTACAGTATCTCTATGTATATCTTGTTCTTTGGGGCCAGTATAATATAGCAAAAAAGTCATAGGATCTTGTTCCAACACGGGAAGGACAAAAAAAATAGTGCTAAATATATGGTTAAGGTTAGAGTTTAATCAAGGTGATATACTGCTGCCGCTCCCACCCCTTTCTTGCCATCGCCGCAAGTCAATCTGACTATCCACTTTTGTTCTCGGGTTTATCTTCATACCACAACTCTCTCTCTTCCTTCCTTCGCTACTCAAACATTCCCATTTCCTTCTGCCTTAACTGTGACTGATGCTGCGACATGCCAGTGCCCTTCTCTAGAGCACTGGCGAGTCCCACTTATTCAAATCCATGAAGATATCCAGACAAGCTTTGCGAACTATCAGCGTGGTATTAAACTGGGTGTCAAAGTTGCGTGAAATAAATGTGTCTGTCAGTTCCCGGCCGGTTACAAAAACCTTTTAAGTAGGCTGAGAAATCTTCATTAGGATTTTGATTATTGACACTTTTCAAAGGGGCTAACCAAGCACCATGCAAACTGTTCTGTCGGTTCAGTGGTGTGTGTATGAAATAGCTAAGAGAAACGCGATTTGGGATTATATCTAATTTGTCCTAGTTTCTACGAACTTTCAACTTCATTATTATTTCAATCTGAAAAGACCTACTTAACACTAGTTTCCCAGGTCGCTAGACTACGGCGACTGCGATATAGTTCGGTCATGACACAAGCTTTTACAGTAAATATTTTAATATCCCTCTGTAATTTTATAATTATAGGTCATGGAAATTACACATACACAGATACGGCAAGCTTTCAAGCCAAACAACAAGCATTGTTGGAGGCTTATTGTTTTTTATTACATATTGGGTCAGGAACATCCTAGCGCATTAAGTCACTGCAGAGTGCTGTCATGAATTTTGTTGTAGGCAACTTTTTCATTATTATTCTAGCAGCTAGGCTTCCGAGACAAGATTTGTGCTCTCATGTTTCTCCATATTTAACATTCTATGGGATCATAGCGTTTGTGCTCCACACGAAGAATGCAAGTATCGCCCTACAACCGTTTCGTTGAAATTATACGCTTCATAGCCCTACAAAAAGCCAAATGGAACCTAAGGCAGGAAGTTAGTAAATAGACTGGCATGGCAGCAGTTATAATGAACTCTCTCGACAAGAGTATTTGGATATGTTACATATCTTCCGTGCTCTGAGACTGCCAGTTTTATTCTATGAAATGAAACCCAGATGCTCTCTTATGCCTTGAAGTCCCGTCCTGATGACTTTTGTAACAGGTTCTTACTACGGATCATGGAGTACAGTTGACAGGACCATTTGCCCACCCAATGGTTACAGTGCAAGACCAGGACAGAACCTGTTACCTGCACAATCTAGGACCACAAACTCAGGCTGTATGGGCACCTGGCATGTTCTCCTTAGAACGCTCATGAACACCAGGTTGTCTCTGCTAAAGTCCGGATGGAGGAGAACTGTGGGGCGACATAAGAAGTCACGTCTCGGGAAGATTGATCAGATCTGTCATGAGGAGCTAGAGATGGGCCGACGCCCTGTCTGGCGTCTGATGGACCCTCGTAAGTGGAAACAAAAGGTGGACGCATTAAGGATCCCCGTCAGCGTTAGGGCAATCGCATCTGACTGACTGATTGATACTGGAACTGGATGGACCAGTATACTCTTCACAAGATTTTAACCCATTGCCGCCGGGGATGGCATGTACGTACATGCCATGCCCACTGTGAGTCGACTTGTTCGATTGTTTTTACACATAGATGGCTACACTTGTACTAAGTATCCAATGAGCCAATTACGAGTACTGCCTGTCTCGCCCGTTCACCCTTTTCATCGATTTACGAAAATATTTAACCTTATCCTAATTTGCTGTTTAAAATAACACCATGTATATTTATAGCACTAGTAAAAATACGCTTTTTCACGCCAATTCAAGGAAAGGTGAAATCAGGACTAGCAGAGCCATCTATGGACAGAGATATTTCACAAAAATATAAAAAATGAGTACTGTATTTCCCCCATTTTTTGTTCATTTTCCCCGGCGGCAACGGGTTAAGTAACTTTATCTTTCGTTGTCAAGTGCCACTCCATTAAAGTGACACCTCCCCCCTCGCCATTTAGACCCCATCCCTAC